TGCAAAATTACAACTTTTCAGGAGAGACGTTTAATATTGACGTACAAAATTAGTAGTTTTTTTATCCTTAAATAAGAGAGCTATATTTCACACACAGATAATTTGTTTCATATGTGCCTAATATTTCTATGACTTATCTAATCAAAGCACTTATCTAATACACATGACAATATGTGTCTTTAGTATACCGAGGGTACCATTCCTAGAAGTATTTAAAATTCCGCCGTTGTAGACAAGGTTGCAGCTTCAATCTTCGCCGCCAGCAGCTATTGAATCATATTACGAATGAGTATATTCTACAAAATTTAAAAGACGTAATGTCATGAAAAAACTGTTCAATGAAACATAAACGAACTAATGTGAAGCCAGTACAAAGTTGAAACAGATCAATGATATAGGTCCATTCCTAGTTGCGACAATTTATGAATTATTATTATTACGTGCTTAGGTGAAACATGTATGAATGAATTTGAGTAGAATCGAACCCAATGGGCACTTGTAAGTCTTACATTATCCCTGCCTGCATCTTAAGTACTTAGCTATAGGTACAACGTGAATACAATAATGCGGTGTACGTTACCAATCGGCTTACAGCATGTAATGCGGCGATTAGACGGTTCGTTGGACCGTGTCCGGTTGCACCAAAAGCTGATCCACTGGAAATATTTGTGACCATGATCCTATACGGAGTAGTCAAAATTACATTTATGACTTTCTGATGAGATAGGTAATAATTATGTTAAAAGCAGCGTACGAGTACCTATGTACATCTGTCAATGTTTTGTAGCAATATCTCTCGCTGGCGAAGGGAAAATTCGAGATAAAATCTGTAACTCGAAGACGGTTCACAACCCTCGGGAAATTTGTGGAGTGGGCTAGCGTGGCGAACTATGGCTTGGACCCTCTCCTTAGCCACAGATAACGTGCAACGGAATTATTAATACCTAATAATAATAACGCACACACTCAACATAGCCCCGTACTAGGGAAACCCTGTGTCACGGGTGCCATGGACACACACATAGACAACCACAAATTACACCCAAATTCACGAGAGAAATAAATGTAGGCCACACAAATATTTCTCCCGGCCCGGGAATCGAACTCGATAGACGAAGGGTGGCAGACCAGCATGGTAGCCCTTCGGCCACGGAGGCAAGTAAAAAAAATACGATAAATAATATATTTACGAAAAATGCAATGCTAACATTACTATGATCTCTTTAGTCATGACATGTTAGGAGAAATGATACAGATTATATTCAGGCATGTTATTAACAGCCCGAGACAGAAAGGACGGTTTCCCGTATCGCATCTACATTAAACGATATCCCTCCTAGCGTGCTGCCGATGCCGAGTCAGTGTCTTTACAGGAAAAAAACGATTGTAAAATCGATCTGAATTGTCTTGTACCAATTACTATTTTATGTGCTTTTATGTTATACATGTGAAGCGCTTGTCTGTAAAGTATGTGTTAAAGTAATTAATAGATTCAGGCGTTACTTTGCGGAAGTCCATGTTAATAAAAATTGAAGTAAATTAATTTGCTACAACAAATACACCAACCGTTCTGAACGAGCTCACCCTTCGGCCGAGCGTCGAGCAGTCAACAGCCCCTGAGGATGCCTCGTGGAGAGGCGAAACATGTGTCGGGTATATTTTTAGTGATGGTTTGTGACAATAGTTGCGCTCGTGTTATTTATTTTATTAATTTTATGCGAAGGGAGGGTGGGATAATTAACTGCATGAAAAAATATTCAACACAAGCGCGGCTATTTTGCACGCTTTAACCTTCGCTGGGTTCGCGGAGTAGCAAATTAACTTACTTCCATTTTTAAGATATGTTAATAATAATAAATACGTTTTTAAACCAAAAATACTTTTATTTTCACATTTTAGAGCTGTTCGTTTGTAAAGCGGGAATCCATCCGCTTACTCAATCGCTGACTTCGAGTAGCGAAATATTTATCTGTAAACTACAGTATTAGTTATTACATAATTAGTAAGGGTGTTTCAAATTGATTTCGTGAATACATAATACTACGCAGTTATAGTAGGAAATTATGCCAAAATCGTTGATTATTTTGCGGGCCACACACAACAGGGTGGTTTGCATTAATATTAGACATAACTGGTTGAAAACTGTACCACCTCAGTCAACCGTGACCATGGGACCTGTAAAGGGCCCGAAACGTCGGTTTGTTTGAAAAAACAAATATACGCGATTTAAATTCGGAAAAATAGTTTCATTTCCAATGAGTGACAATCGCGAAAACCTAAGCACTCGATATATACAAGGCAGTTCATTGACAGCGCCTTACACTGAAAACATCGACTCAGGATACAGATTTGTGGATAATCACTGAAAATTTTTGGTGTTATAAGGAATATTTTTGTGTTGTTTTATAAACGTCCTGTAAGAATTTCAATTTATAAATACTTATTAAAAAGCATACAGCATTTTCTTTTTTTATGGATAAAACAAATGACGGAAAGTGACGATGAGGTGAACGTGAGGGATCACGATAGGGCTTGCAAGAAATTGATGCAACGCTACGCATTTGTATTGCAGATTCGTCTGAAAAGGAAAAGTAAGAAACTCTAGGCGTTGCTCTACGTAACCACCTGAACCAAACGTATCACTCTCTGGAACTTTGTTATTGTTAGTTATTTTGTGTGCAATATATGTAGGTATGATAGTCTATATTATATGAGTCATAGTTGCCTGATGTAAATTAATAAATAAATTAACGGCTTTACGAATGTATAACAAAGTTGGAAAGTGTTTGACTAACTTCAACATATTATTTAAGGAATAATTTGGCAGCGTCGTGATGGTAAGTGCACCATCAGTAAAATTTTTGTCCAAATGTTATAAAAAATAAACTGAAATTTAAAAACACAGCTTATTTTTCTGGGGTCCTCGCTGAAATCTCTCTGTCCACAATTAACCGTATTACATCCGTGTTAATATTTGATCGACCTTCCCTTCCTCTCACCGGGCCTGCCTTACCCCGCGGCACTCCACGCACTGTTATATCATAAAATCATTCGGTAAAAAGCTATACCGTCGCTTTGCTTCGAACACAAATGTTCTTTAGGGAAATGAAACTTGTCTTGCGCCACTATTTTTCGCTTTGCTTATTTGTCGTGAGTGACGAAGAATGTCACTGACTTACGAGTATAAATCTTAAAATTGAGTTTATAATTATTACATTGCAAACGCTCAGCAAGCGGGTGTGTAATGGAAGATATAACAACCAATAATCTATTTTCACTTTGTATAACAACATTTGATATAATTTCTAAGGATATAAGCACTCACTATATATAATTAACAAAAGGTATAACAACAAAAGGTATAATTATTAGGTGACATAATGGACAAATGGTATAAGTACAACCAGTACAATGTGTTAAATAATATAATACAATATTTCGTTTTACGAATAGTTGAAGCGCCTAACTAAAGCTCTGAGTGGCGCTGCAATTGTTATGGACAGGCGTGAGACTACCGTCAGGCGCACGACTTGTTACTAAATAAATTACCAAACATACCTGTAAGAGAAACATGACGATTCTTTATTTATTATTGCAATATGTTTTTACTAGTTTATTTATATTAACAGAAAGTACCAATAAGTGGCAGTTAAAAGTGATAAAATATTTGTTTTCTAGTGCCCTATATTGTGGTGATACGAGGTTTTTTTATTTCATTAAATGTATAATCGCAGTATATAATTTTTTAATCAGTATAAAATTTGCATAGCTTAAGTGATTTTTGTGTAATTAAATATATTTTTTTAAATTTGGAGCAGAAAATTTAATTGTATATACTAACCTAATCTAAACTCACAGGAGGAGGTCGAACCAACTAGCAAATGCAAACAAATTCGGTTCTGGTACTCGCCGGCCGCTGCCGCGGCACATTATGCCATTCGGTATGTTAGATTGAAAGTTGTTATATCAATCTCTATTATACCCAGTGACCTTTATATCATGCAAGAATTTGTTAAATGTCTCTATACCATAAATTAATTATATCTGTTGAGCGTTATATCGACTAAAAATATGTCATTTGTTGTTATATATTACGAACTGCACCCGCCTAAACCGCACTAAATTACCGTGGGATCACCTACTATAATCTAAGATCTTTTTGCTTAAAAGAGCCCCGAGTGCAACAGTGAACTTAACACTGATAAATACAATGCGGCTGGGTGAGCTAGAAAGCCGTGTGTGTACGAGGAATTGACCTTTTAATATATTAAAGAGAGATTTGTATAAGCGAAACGTTTTTAGGAATTCTCTGTGTTGCGGTTACACGCGAGCTGCCTCAGTCAACAATTCCTTGGATTTTTATTCAGTTAACATCGTTTTTCATTGCCTTGAAGAAATACAAAAACAGGTCACAATGATTTTGTCTACCCCAGTGTTAACCATTTTGGCCGTTTCATATACTTGTCCAGGGCACTTAACTGATAGTTCGAAAAAAAGATAATATGTGCCGACAACCACACTTATAGCCTGGTCTACTAGGAGTACCAGAGCAACGGAATTCTGGGACACTTCCCAAGACACACAGACCAAAACAAATTTAGAAAGTTCATTTCCCAAATTGACTACCGGAAATCGAACCCGGGACCTCCGCATCCAACACCTACAATATAAACAAATAGGCAACCGAGGTCGTCATATAAATATGTTTTAACAATCGCATGACAAGCCAAAACGGTACAAATTAAAAGGCTGGAGGGAATGTGTCTAGAGCCGGATGGGAAAGCAAAACAGAAGCTTACGTTCAGCAGTGAGAAATTCTGTCCCTTTAGTTAATCCCTAATTACAGTGGATTGCGGTCACTTGCTTTGCACAGAGAATTTCGGCCCATTATTTCCCCAGGTACAGGTTGGTGAGGACGTAACTTCCTTGACTTGGTCGGACAACGTTATCGTATACAATACAAATGGATTTTCAGGGCGATGCAAAAACAAACCTAAACAAACGGCTAAACTTTTTGATAGATTGTTTATTTAAGACAGCCCAAGTAAGACTTCTTGCAGCACTTCCTGCAGCAGGGATACCGTGCGATTTGTTTAGTTATGTGCTGGAGCTCCCCAGAGTTGACACGCGGGCCGAAGCCGCGCAGCGGGCAGGCCTCCACCTTTCTCAATTTACCATTTAACTCATCCCTGTAATCATTATTAGTAAAATAAATTCACAATTAATTTAGCTTATAGGCTCACTCAAATAAATCGGCCCTTTTACGATTTCACACTTATCAAGGCGTCACCCAGATTTAGAGAAATCATTAAGTTACCTGTAGTGTTTAATTCTTTTCTTCTCTTCAATCCTCGTTTTAACCCATTCCTCGAGCTGTTTTTTCATTTTCTCCCGTCTCTCGAGCCGATCCTTCACTTGCTGACCAGTGGAGTCACCATTCAGCAAACTGTAAGACACGCGACTCCTATTTAATTTTAATCGATTGCTTCGCTCAAGTGGTGGCGCTGGGATTGAGTGTCGACGCAATTTATTAATTCATAAGTGTATTATTACTTATTTAATTATCCACAAAATCTATAAGAATAACGTATGTGAATACCATTCTTACGATTTTGATAAAATTTTAATTAGTTCCAAATTAAACTTCTCAAACTTAAAACTTCTTATACCGCATACAAAATAAAAAAAATCAAATCAAATTGTTATTAAGACGATTACGTAACGAGAACAGGGCAAAGGTAAGGTTTTTTTAACATTGATTATTCTTTTTTCAAGAAATATATAGGTGACACGAAACGAAATATAACAATATTATTACAAAATATCAAACTAAAAGCTCCTTCAACGGTTGTGAATTTTAAGAGGCGATGCTACACATAAACCCCACTCATATTGGCATAAAAATTGCAATAATTTATGTGTTAAATGAAATGCTTATGATTTCATCATACCTGAGGAACATCAATCACTTCACAAACCTGTTGAGTTCTTTTTCGGCCTTGTCGTAGAACTTTTCATGCGCCGTGTCAGTGGAACTAACAGGATTCGTGGACATTTCAGTGACCATTGATAATACAGCTGCTTCCTGTGGTTTATTATGTATGTTTATAAACACTCCATTGTACAACAAAACAAATTACAATTTTTATCAAAGAATTTGAAATTTTAGTGAGCAAAGGTAAGCTCACCTTACCATACCACAAAAGGATTCTTCCTACTAACCTTATATCTACGAAAAGCGTCTGTTTTGCCAATATACATATTTTCAACGACAATATTTTTGTTCCTTTTATGGTACTTGTCACTTTTTCTTCGCGCATCTGCAACTACACCAATTTTTTCGTCATAAGGCGTGGTAAAGTTGCCCTCGCCCGAATATGTACCGTGGTAATGCTCCTGCCTGTCCTGCTTGTCGTTATTAGCTATATTCTTTATCTTTTTTTTCAGATCTTCTATGTAACTTACACCTTGTTCAGCATTTGGGACATTATTGTTTTTCAATAGAGCAACACTTTCTTCCATAGCTTTATTCATTTCTACAAACAATTCGTGTTTTTGTTGCTCTAATTCTTTAATTTTTTGTACAACTATGTTCTCTTGATTTTTGGAACTGTTTGTAGGTTCATGTAGACTATTTATATTAGTTGGTACAGACAAACAACTACTAATAAAATAATGTATTATTGTAAAGCTTATCAATGTATTCATTGTCGATCTTGTATCCTAATTTTGTAATGTTTTTTTTTATATTTTTTTTTTTTCACAAAAAGTGTTACGTTTTTCACACATATGATTTAAACCTAAAAGATTAACGGTAAGACTGACGTTAAGTAATACAATAAAAATTCTTCTCAAATGTGTAATATATGGAAGTGGATTTCATTTTATAATCTATGTTTTAGTAGTGCTATAACATTTTATTTTGTAACACGGGAAATTCCATTAATTTCATTTTCCGTTAAAAATAAAAAAAGTGCAGTGACATTATTTGATTTATGTTTTATTACTACGTTTCCGATTTATAATGATTCAATTTTTATAAAATGTGCTGAGTAATTGATAACCAGGGGTACTACTGAGTCCTCCTTAATTCACAAACCTGAACGCTTTCAAATGTTATCCAGCCGCTGTGCCATCCATCATCATCATCAACTTTTTGCAGGCCAGATCTGGGTACAGGCCTCCGTCAATCTTTGCCATTTGGCCCAGTCTTCTGCATATCCCTGTGCCACTGTAGTTGTCGGATTAAATTTTATTATTATGATGTAATGTAATGACAACCCTAAATAAATAACATTTATAATAAAATTGTTGAGCGAATCAGTTCGAAATCTATTCTGTACTGTACACCGCTTATATTTTCTTGTTACCTTCATAACATATTGGCACTTAAACCACCACCATTTCTGAGATGTAGATGTCTAAAAGTCAATATGAAAAGGACAAGGAGTCAATAAACTAAGTGGAGCTGAAGGCGCCGGCGACGACGACGGTAGTGAATTAATCTAATCTAAGTAAAATCACTTCCCGGGCAACGAGTATTTTTACCTTTTTTCTCAGTCGCACTTTGCTTGAAGCTCCTACTACTTGCTTGCTTTAAAAAGTGACTAACGTCGATGTAATACCCTTCTGTACTATCCTCTCCTAGTATTCCAATCTTCCGAAATTATAAATCTTCTAGTTATTACCTTTATCTATTTATTCACTTCTAAAAATTGGTACATTATTTTTCATAATGTTAAAGAAAAATCCAATATTAACCCGTTTATTTCAAACTATCGAACATAGGTTTTGAAATATTTTTATGAACATGCGATAAACATATTTCCTCGCGACATTTTCGTTCATCGCCATTATTGAACGTTGTTTTTATCCAAGGAATTAGTACTGCCACCATAAGGTGACACCTAGGTATATTTCGGCCGTCAAGAAGTAACGTGACCATTACTGCGTTCCTGCTATGAGCATAAGGTAGCTGATGAAACTACAAGCACATGGCACTTATCAACTTTATAGCTCAGTGTGTCGGGTGCGATGGCAGTGCTTCTCAGGTCTTTGCGAGTTTAAGCTCTGGGTGGCACTGCAACTGCTTAGTTTGCTGCAGTAAAGTGACGTAACGAGAGTGTGAGCGTGACGTCGATACTGTGACGTGACCTTTCTCGTTTGACTATGTTCTTGCAAATATCAGATTTGGAATCAACCTTCAATAATGAACGAATGTATCTTTATGCTTGTTCCATGTTGATGGTCTTTCTAAAAATTGCTAAAATTATTTCCTCCGACGATATCTCTAAATTTGGTTGATCGCTATAGGTGTAGGTAAGTAACAAGACACAATGAAAATTCGAACGCGCTTTCATCACTCGACTGGAGAACGACGTCATCGAGTATAGTATATGCAAACTTGGCATTTTGATCAAGGCGCACAAGCCGCCATCCACGGCGCCCAGTTTGTAGCCGTTTGGATAGGCGTGAAACTTATGATACTGCTAGACTAATTTACTTTAGTTACTTCCATAGTATAATGTCCTACCTGCTTCTCATGTGGGGTAAAGCGGCAGACATACAAACCATATTTGTGTTGCAAAAAAGATCGATTCGTTCTGTGTACCGTTTAGACTCTCGGGTTCCTTTCAGAGAAAAGTTTAAGGAGACTGGTATCATGACTGTGGCATCACAGTACATTACTCAAATATTTTGTATGCGCGTAAAAATATACATAACTTCGTTAAAAAAGAAGATCTCCATAACATTAACCTTAGAACTAAGTCCAAACTCTTGGTACCACGTTTTCATTTAACTAAGGTAAACGATTCTTTTATGGCGAATTGTATACGTTTTTGCAATAAGATTCCGGAGCATATATTAAGTTTACCATTTCCTAAATTCAAAACTTACATTAAAAGTATTTTAATTGAAAAGTCATATTACAAAATTGTAGACTACGTGTTAGATAAAGATGTATGGAAAGACAACGTGAGTCTATATTCCACACAAATATTATTCAAAATGCATTCTATAGGATTTAAGTTTATTTGAAAAGAGCAATCCCTAGAGTTTCTTGCTTGTTCTTCTCAGGGTGGTCAGCGTAGTGAACGAGCAGTAGCTTAAAAAATTACGTTTTTAAGTGTAAAAATTTTACCTATGTAACAATAGATTATTTGACTTTGACTTATCACCAGGCAGACGACTCGTTCGTCCATCACTTGATAATCATAAAAAAAAGAAACATGTAGAACCAGTGGTAATATAGTGAAGACCCATTACAATGATGACCATGCTTATCGCGTGGTTGGCCTCCCCTTTTGCTCCGCGCTCCCTCTTATTCTGAGGGAACTAGTTTTACTCTATTTGCCGCCTCGCAACAATGCTGTGCCTTTTTTTACAAATTTCTCGTATTTTCTAAACTAGATATAAATCTTGTTCTCACTGTGTAGCATTGAAGAATAGAAAAGTAATGCACAATTTAAGGTACAAGTCATGGTGCATACGTTTTTAAGTAATTTCTTTGATTTTCATACGCTTGTTTTTTATGTGCTGTAGATAAAAAAAATATGTTTACGAAAAAGCGCTTCTACTTCAAGTTTCTATTAACGGGAAACTGCCTGCTTCATGTTGTTAATTTAATGTCTACTATGTTTTAATATCAGTCGGTACCCTTTAAAATGAAAGAAATAAATAAAAACATTTTTTTCGAAGTTCAAAAAGTCGAACGAATAAAGTTGATTTTCAAGGTTCGCTTCACCCTTTTGAGATTCGTGTAGTGTAATGCATTAAATATAAAGAAGATGCAAGATATTTTGCTAACATGAATACCTAATGCGAATCATTTCTGTTCTTTGCAAACTGCGCTTGTTTCTACCACTGATTTTCTCTTACTTCATTCCTCAACACACCATCTAAGCAGAGGTGTTCTTGAACGATGTTCATTGCTTCGTTATTTTGAATCACTTAGATGCAATAAACAATGACAACTAACTGCCTCCTTGGCCTAACAGTTACCATACCGACTACCAAGCAGAGGTCTCAGGTTCGATTCCTGGACCGGGAGAAATATTTGTATGGCTTACATTTATTTCTCTCGTGAGTATGGGTGTAATTTGTGGTTGTCTATGTGTGTGTCCATGGCACCCGCGACCCAGGGTTTCCCTAGTGCGGGGCTATACTCAACATATCGTGCGTTTAGGAAATGAAACTATTTTTCCGGATTTAAACCGGATCAGTCAACCGTGACCATGGGACCTGTAAAGGGCCCGAAACGTCGGTTTGTTTGAAAAAACAAATATACGCGATTTAAATCCGGAAAAATAGTTTCATTTCCTATGTGTAACAATCGCGAAAACCTAAGAACTCGATATATCGTGCGTTATTATTATTATTATTATTATTGTAACTATCGCACAACGTTTTAAATTGTAATGCAGTTTAGACATTATTAGTGAGGAATGCCGGAGTAAGTTACTAAGCATTGTTGTACGTTGACAAATACATAATCAAGAATTAATGTCATCATACGCAAGAAGAGAAGGTCTTAAGTAAAATTAGGTACATTGTATTTAACTGAAAGTAAATGAGCCTCTAAATGATTTCATTACGTGTTTTGAAATATTGAGGATAAGTTTTGACACATACTTAAATATCCATAATTACGTGCTAGGCAAAGTATGTTTATTTTTTTAAACAACCCGATCACCCGAATACACTTCTTCTGAACCTTAAAGGCTCCTTCTTGAACCACTGAGTCGCCACACAGACTGAACAAGATCGCTGAGCACAGCTGAGCACAGACGAAACGAAGCCGTGATAAGCCGTTCTTATAGTAGATAGTAGCAAACTATCACGCGTTATGAATTGCACCAAAGCAGAGGAATTCACGTCGCTGAATTAAGTGTCAGCCATTGCTTAATCATGCTTAATCATGACATCATAAGCCCAACATCTAAGTCTTTTATTATGAGGCGATGTTACATCTCAATGCGCGCGCGCTCCAACTCTGCGAATATAATTTCCATTAAATTTATGTTTAGCCTTGATAAGCGGTTCACTTTTAAGCGCGCTATGGAATTGGTGCAAATATTAAAAACCAGTTGTTTTATGATATTTAATGGCGCAGTTTCCAATGCCTGTTTAAAATAACGCTGTACAGTCACGTCCGCGCATTCTTCATCGCCCTCGCCGTGTCCCGTCCCGGGGATCGTATTCTTACGGCGTTTATTTAAAACATCGCCAAATGAAGTGAACGTCGAATATATAATCGAATATTTTATGGAATAACTTTAACGTCCTGCCGTCGAAAGATTACGCAAACCGCATATTATATTCTTAAAAAAGTGTTTCTCAATTTCGTATTATAATAGTGTTGAGGGTATCGTTATACCTACTTCTAACTAGCAGTCGTGACATTACCACGAAATAATGTATTTCACTAACATACACACATCACATTTTGTTGTCGTGTGTGTACATACGATGTTAATTACAGATATTGCAAACTTCCATTTGTGAAATCGCTTGTGTACGTTGATTGTACCTTA